TTAAAAAAAAAAAAAAAAAGAGAAGAAAGAAAGAAACAATTTTTTAAAAACTCTTCGTCTCGTGAATTTTTCGATTTTCATGAGTTATCCAAATATTTTAAAATTTGACGTATATAATATGCGTCGTAACCGATGATACGGAAGAGTTTTGTGGAAAATGTTTAACATACAAAGTCAAATGTTGTTTCACCGTGGTAGACACGCGTCAAGTGGGAAGAAAATCGAGGAAAATGACCAAGCAATAGAATCGACGTTCGGTAAATCGACGTCGATGGCCTCGGCCGCTTCTCCTCGAGAGATCTCTCGTATCTCCCGTTTGGCTTCACCCTAATCGACCTCGAGGCCCTCCGAAATTCGGTTCAATCCATTTCTGAGGGTAGTTTTCTTTAGCGCACCTGATCCCACGAATCACCCTCGGCACATTCGACGTACGATCATTATTTAAACGCCAGTGGAATCATTGTTTAAGGATCAAGCCAAGCGGCGTTTTCACTCGTGTTGTCGTTCTTACAAATTTGCTGCGAAATTTAGAAAAAAAATTCTTAAGAAGAAAATAATCTCACGACTTTGTCGAAAACAACAAAATTTTACATTGCATTAAATCTTATTATTTCAATATTCAATTTCTCATTTCCTCTTATATTACTTGTATAGCTAGATATTTCTGTACGATCAATTGTACATTGACCCTCGTGCATGGGCCAGCCATGAAAGAAAATTAAACTTGACACTCGTTCGAAATTCTTATTACTAAGCACGAGAGAGAAGAATTTAATGCGAGGCACCGGATCATGAATCATGTAGGCGGGGTAAGCGGGCGCATTTGTTTGTGATTAGGTTGATTGAAGAGGAGTTACACAGTATCGACGTCAGCGACAATGCTAGGCCGAAAGTTCTAGCGGGCGATGTCGGCAAATTGGTGAAAGGGTTGGCTTCAAACTGAAATTGAGAGGGGTTGGACGTCGCCGGTACCCAACATCAGAAGGGCAGAGGCGGGATACGACGCTTCTGGGCTGTCGTGAACCCTGGCTGGAGCCACCGGTGTACTTGGCAGAGAGTGCTTTTCATCTCCGTAAATGGACCGGCGGTAAAGCAATTTTGGTACATTACCTATACCTGCTTTAACCCCTCCCCCGCCTTTTCTGTCAGACTTCCCGACCACCCCCATCGTCTTTCATCTTGCATCATCCGACTCTCGATCGCGGGGAACGTTTGATTTCGATGGGAAACGTCGTAAAGGCATTAAAGGGGAGGGAGGGGGAGGGAGGTAGGGGTACGGGATCGGTGGCGGTGGCCAGACCTGTGAAACAAAGAAGCGATTTCGCTGTTTCCATCCACGTTGGCGCCGGCGACGGCCTTTTTGTAAATGACCGTAATCGCGCGCCACCCCTCTTTGAGAGAAGTTAAAACCCTCTTCTCTTCCCTTCTCGCTCTTTCTATTTCTCTCGCTCTCTGTGACGAGTGACGTTGATCGAGCGGTTGCTCCAACTTTAGCGGAAATTTCAACGCGGCGTCCAACAGTTTCTCAAACAATCGATCCGTAATGTGGCACCGGCGGCTATTTTTAGTTGCTTCTTTCTTCCTTCTGGACCCGGCTAACTTCTTCTATAATCGTCCCGTACTTTTAACCTTTCAACGTTCACGCCAACGCGTCTCACGTATTCCGTTCGTTTATCGCGAATTTTCTAAATATTACTCGTTCTTTTCTTTTGTCTTCTTTTTTTTTTTATTCTACTTCGTTTCAATCTACGAGTTACACAATGACTCGTGTATATAAAAATTATTCGAACGTTCGATCTCTTCTTCTATCGAGTATTTAATACGCGTGGAACATTTATAAAGCTCGTTTATTCTTTTATAGATTGCTGGAAATAGTAAAAGGAGAATAGGATAGGTGGTAAATTTTCAAAGGTCTTGCAACATCGATCTTAACGAGCATGAAAACGCGTACCGACGTTATTTCGGGCGACCTCGCGAGATATCCAATTCAAAAATCTCGTTCGCAATCGAATCGTTGTTTAAATGTCGGCGACCCTCGTTGACCCAGTTCACTTGCCGTAGCGTTAGATTTACCGCAGCGAGAAAGAAGGAAGAGTGGAGAGAAGAATAAGAGGGAGAGAGAAAGGGAGAGGGTGAACACAGAGAGAGAGAGAGAGAGAGAGAGAGAGAAAGAGAGAGAGAGAATTGGCTCGTAGCTAGAAAGTATCAACGTTTAATCCAGCCTGATTGCATTCGGTCGTGCGACGATTTTACGAGCGCGCTCAAAACGGCCTGGCAAACACATTTTCCTTTTCGTGAATTTTTTTCCTGCAATCACCACCGAGATGAGCAAACGTTCGTAAACGTTCGTGTATCCCTCGTTCGCTTCTGACCTGGCAACTAATTTTTGTCCACTAGGAGAAGAAATCCAGCGAAACGAAGTGCCTGGGGACAGTTGACGAATTTATCGATTCGCATACAGGGCAAAAATTGCACGCGTGCACACGAGAGATTTGAAACAGGTTTGTTGAAAATTGGAATATGCCTCGTGCGTATTTAATGAAAATATGATATTTTAAATCGAATTTTTTTTCCTTTTTTTTTTTTTTTTTTTTTTTTAGTCGTAACATGTTTTGAAACATTTAGTTGCTAAAAGCAATGCGCGAAATGTAATTAATCCTTCCATACGCAACATTCCGATTTTTCGACTATAATAATATTGTTTTTTTTTTATTTCAGTTTATTCGATTATCGAAACTATAAGATTAAAAGTATCGTTCGTTCAACAATATATTTTAATATTTGATTATTGTTGTTGTTCACGCGGGACGAGAAGCCAATGAGACGCGTGAAAATAAAAGATTTTTTTATCGAGTCACAGCAATCAATTCGATATAAAACATAAAACATCTGGTTATTTAATTATTTGAAATTCTATTTTAAATTAAGAAAAAGAGCTGCGTAATTAAGATATAAAATAAAGATTCTATCGATTTCAGGAACAGGCAATTCATACCTTCAGGCCTTAGATCGCGAAAGGATCGATCAGATAGACGCATAACGAACCATTTATCATAGAGTGAAATTGTTACGTCGACGGATCTCGATTCTCATCGAAGCAAAGAAAAAGACGGCTAAACACGGAGAGACAGAGAGAGTAACTTTCCTCCGCACGCTTTGCGGAGAAAGAAGAAGGGGGTTGTGCCGCTTTTGTCGTGCTGCACAGACGCGTGGAAAAGAAGAGGGTGAGTTTTGCGACGGTATTGTCGTGGTTCGCGTTGTCCTGTGCCCTGCCGTCGCTGCCATTCCGATAACAAACGTCACGGTTTGAGGACCTCGCTTTTTCCAGCCGATGGGCAGCCTCTTTAAAGAGTAATTACGCTTACACTCGATGTATCCTGCGCCCCGTGATATTCTTCATCGTTTTTTTCAGGTGAGTTATTTTCACGTTCGCTCTTTTTTTCTTTTTTTTTTTTTTTTTTTTAACTCTTACTTGTTCTTTTCCTATTTTTATTCCCCCTCTCCCCTTGCCCCTCTCTTTCCCCTTTTTCTTCTTTTTCGCGAAAGTACAATTTCTAGATTGTTGTGCCGCGACTGTGGAACAATGAGCCTATAGGCGAGCGTGGCGCAACGGTTCATATTCAACCTCTCTTTGTTTCCCAAAGAGGAGATTTTGTTGCTTTTGTCGCGCAGACGCATGGAAAAAAAGAAGGGACGGCAAGGATGGCCACCATTGTTGCCATCCTTGGCACGCTATCTCGATAACGAAAATCTTGGCGATCGAAGGATCTCGAAGAAAACGTCGTTCGCGATTTCATCGTTTTCTCTTACTTGAAAATTATCGGCTTACGATCGAGGGATAAAAGCAATAGAAATAGAGACAGTTTTATTTTCACCAATTTTAAAGGAGAAAGTAGAATGAACAGTATTTATTGAATCGATAAATCCTTATTTCCATTTTTAAAGTGAGTTTTTAAAGTTTGAAACTTTCCTCGCGTCAAAATGTCCAATAAATGCGAATGGACACGAAAAAAAGAACATAACATAATTCTCTATTCACAACTGTTGTGAAACAATATTGTGTAAAACGGGAACAGATCCAAAACTTTTTTTTTCATCCAATATCCATACTTGCACACAATACAGAATATCACTCGATTAAACAACGAATCAAAAACGGATCCCGCAACAATTCCTCGATCATTTCTGACTTTCTAATTTTACCTTATCACACGCGCGAGATCATTCATTTATCCGCAATTGCAACAGCGTAACGTCGAGATCTTTGCAACCCCCCCATAAACTTTTTTCACGCAACAATACTCATCCCTTCGGTCCAAGAGACCGAATAAATACGTCGCCACGAGTAACAATAATTTCCGGGAACCGTGATTCGGACAATGGCCGCGTTGATTAGTCGTTCCCTCTCTGCCACTTTGAAGGATTGCGAATCTCCCGCAGGGCGACTTGCCCGTGTCCGCTTCGAAGGGTTTCGCTATTTCGCGAGGAGAAAGTGGTCGTGAAGGAGGGCCGCTTACACAGGAATGCGGCTCCTCCATCGGCCTCGGGGGATCGATCCTCCCTTCGATACAGCTCTGCCCTCCCGTTGCCCGTGACTTTGCACCCCCTGTCACAAATATCCCTGGATACGCGTGCCGCTCGCGCTTCCTTCGAGGGTCCTTTTCTTCGCCCCTGCTACCCTCCCGCCCACCTCCAATTGAGATTACCTCAGTGAAGGTCGCGTTTTATTGTCGCTTCCCATTCGATGCCATCCGCAACTCCTCCCCCTCCATCGTTCTCGTGAAGAAATTCGGGACCGATTGTCGAGGAATTCCGGCTGGATTCTGAGGCGTCTGATTCCGAGGCGAATTTAAACTGCAACCGAGGATGAAGAATATATATTCTCTATTGAATGTGTATTTTTTTATTGGAACAAGAGGATTTGGATTGTATTTGTAATATTGTAGATAATGTTGTAAGAGAAAGGGAGAGTAATATTTGAGCTATATTAGAGTAAAAGAAAGAAGTCGTTTTAAGATTAACGAGATTGGAATAAATATTATTCATCTGCACGAATAAGTTCGAGATCCAGAGATTTTTCTTTTGGAAATGAATAAAATGTGTCATATGAAATTAATATTTGTAGGCGAGTGCCATTTTTCACGTGCGAGTATTCAATAGTACAGTGGCATATTATTTTTACGAATATTATTGAGAGAATTGAAATTTGATTTTCAGAATAGAATTAAAATTTAATGAAACGTTACATTTCATTCGATCTCTCCTCCACTTGCACCGAGAAAAATTGCAACGTCTTTAAAATGTAAGTAGTCACTTTAGAACGTAACGATCCATTAGTCACTTTTAAACAATACACTTGGACTTTCGATTTAAATTCTACTTTAATTAAAGCTCTAGACCGCGAGAGGATACGTCTGGGATTGTCAAGTTCTCTCTCTGTCTCTCTCTCTTTCATTTCTTTATAGGTGTCACGATCGTTGATTCCGCCGGGTCCTCGAGGCGGAAGATCGAAGGACCGAGCACTCGTCCCGCGATCATCGAGTACGTTACCCTCGTCTGATGGTCTGTCGTGTAAAATACAGAACGCATTAATTAAAGCGTGGCTCGTGATGGGGATGATGTCAGAACGGCGGCGGTGGTGGCGTTGCAACGTGTCGTAGCTCAAAGCGGTTTACAACCCTTGTAAATTCAAGCGGCAGGAACAATGGACGTCTTAAATTTCTCTCGTAGGCCACGCAGGGAGTTTAAACCCGTCCCGATTTCGAGCCACTCGGCGAGCCTACACCTATCAGATCGAAACGGGAAGCAATGAAACCGACTTTATTCCAGGGGCATTATCTTATATTGCCCTCTTCCTATTGTCCGAGGGGATGAGCGACACTGATAGAAATATCGAGATTGGAACAAGGTGACAAGGATGTTTCGCGTTCAATTATGCCGTTGGACGTTGCTCGTTCTTCCATTTTTATTTTTTTTATTATCGCAAAAAATTTTAGCCATTTTGAATTTTTAGCGATCCTGATAAATTCGTCGAAATGAATTTCCAATTTTTCGCTTTCCGAGAAATTGATTTTGATTTTCGTTCGAAACAGAAACGATGCGATTATCTTAGGTACGATGATATTCGTATTTTGAGCGTGGAAATAATGACAATTGCAATTTATGATTTCTCTCCTCAAGAGAGTATTATATTTGTTTAGATTACTTCGAAAAGATTTTCTCGATTATCTATAAAACTTTATCTATAAAACTTTTCGAACTCTTAACAAAAATTCACAACACCGTGTGGTATAATTTTCAACAATTCTTGCTCTGCAAGAATTTCAAATTTCTTCGCGAAGGTAATCATTTGGATCGCCGTTCCAATCTCTCGAGAAACAAGGCAACCACCGATCAGTCAAATTTCATTCAGAAATCCAATCTAATCTTAAGGATGCGTCTACGGAGTCCATCGAGGGCCATTGTTCCATTATTAGGGTGTCGGCGAAAGATCAGCCGTTTAAATCAGGAGCGGATCCCAGTTGCGTAACAGAAATGAAACGGCCGACGATTCGCAGATTTAAGATCCCCGGGAGCGATCGACGACGTGATAATCGGTCACGCGAGCGGAGATCACAATAGCCTCGGGTGGCGGGAATAAATGAACCGGGTAGTCTTGATACCCGGCAAGGGTGAAAGGAAGAGGCGGTAGATAGGAAAAGCGACGTTATGGCGCAAGTTTCTACCTCTTCTCCGAGTGAAAAGGGTTTATGGCGCGGATAGAAATCCCGCAGACAATGGGTGAATTAATTCCTTAAGGTCTAATCGGCCTGTAATGATCCTGATCTCTAGTCGCCCGGTCGGGATGGAATTAGCTCGAGAATTATTCGCGATCGTCCAGATTACCTCCGTTCGTCGCGTAATTAACGACATTTCGACCGATGATTTAAAGATATGGATCCGAACTACTAACCGACTCACCCCTGAACCGCGTCTCTCTTTGTTGACGAGGAAGGCGAGGGAGAGGGGGTCATCATCAGAGACAGAAAGGACTTCTTGGTTCCAGAATCTCTTGGTACGTAATCCGGAAGCAACGAAGGGGAGGAAGATTTTAGAATTGAACTCGAATTGAATTTCGTCTCGAAGTCGATGAGCTTTCGCGTTACACTGTTGATGCCATGAACATATAATATAACACGATAGTCGTGTCGTATATAATCTCGCGCACGTGTCTTATCCATTTATCAATCGTAATCCCTTTATCCCTGTGCTCGAGAATGGGCGAGAACGACGATAATCGTTTTGCACGATCTTCGGCCACGTGACGGAGTGACCCCGACGAAGACCTGGTATCTCAGTTTCAACTGTTGCAACTACCCCCATGCCGACAATCCCGTTATTGCCAACCCGTTGCTTGCTTTCATCTACGACCAATTTCCCCGCCCGACTAGCCCACCCCCCCGTGGATTACAGCCACGATATCGCGACCCTAACGTTAATTTCATTAACGGATTCGATCCCGCCTCTTACGAGACGATAGCCACGGGATAGCCACGGCCCCGTATCGTGTCCATAACGCGGCCCATAAGCGAATTTCTGAATGCAACCACACCTGCGCTCTCGAATAACCCGAAGCGACAGGTCAGAACGATTAGCGTTCCAG